TGTGCCGTCAATGCATAATATTATGCCTGTTCCAGTTGCAGCAGTGCTCCCCAAATCCTAATGCTGCCACTGCCATGTTATATGCTGGCTCCAAATTCTTACCTTCAGAATTTTTATTAGTACCTTACCAGATATACCGTCTATCGTTCCTCCCCAAAGGCTCAAGTTTGGTCTCCTCCGATCATAAAATCCTTTCAAGCTTATTAATATGAACTTTGGCATAGTTGAGCCGAGCTTTTGTGTGCCTTTTTGTGAGCAGTGACTTTTTTTCTAAGCATTCTGCTATGCAAACTAGCAAAGTTCAGATTTCGAAGAACTGTAGGCGTCTGCACTTTGATTCCTACATAGGGATCCTTGGTGAACTGCAGCAGGATTCGCCTGGGTTTGCCAAACAAGATGTCTACTTGCCCTTGCAGTTATTTTTCGCTGATATCGTCATGCCAAATGTCTTCCATTTATAAACATTTTGTTAAACATGGAGACATGAACTCCAAATCATTTTGATAGCTTCTTGTTTTCTTCTCTATCCTTATAGGCTTCAACTATGCGATTTTTTCAAACTTCTGATAGTTCTTTTTGAGGGGGAATATTTTTTTTTTAAATTTAGTATCTAATTGCACATTTTTGCATACACAATGTGTTATAATGGTTGACTGCAGTATACACAGCTTACCAAAAAATGAACATGTGTCATTTTCATTTTTACGCATGCGCAAAAAATTATTTGCATTGGCTACCATGTAAAACAAAAATAACGAATTTAAATCTAAGAGTCCACTTCCTTCTGCGCATCTTAATTTTTGATTAATATTTTTATTCCAGCTTGATAAAAAATTATGGAAGTGGTTGTAATTCGTTCAATAAAGGTTTTTTTTTTTAATGAATATATAGTATAATTAAGATTTATTGATTATCTAGAAAAAAAAGCGACAATTCTTTAAATATTATCTGAGGTGTTTACTTACTTTTGCACAGGATTCTATGTTTGGGTATATAATACAGACAGTTTTATTTAGTCACTTTCTGCTGTTTCTTATTTATTTTCATTTTTATTAAATATCCCACATTGTGATAATAGAAGATCTGCCTAGAAGGATGAAATGTTGGGAGAAGCTGAACGAAAATCTACTGTGGATAATCCAGCATATTAAAGCACATTCTATACACTTTCTCTTTTAATTAAAGTAACATTTGTTAAAATTGAAATTATGGTCAAACGCATTGCGGAGAGTAACTAATGTACTGAGTGTGTTGTATTGTAAAAAAAAAAACATTCTGCGTTGTTATAATCTCTTATTAATTTGTTTGGGGTTTCTCCTTGGTATTCCTTGTGGCAATCATTACAGGCAATAGAAGAAATTCCTCATTCAAGTTTTAGGTTATTATTATTTCGCCACATGATTTTTTTACACTTTGTCATTAATTTTCTTAACATCGTTCCGTTATATAAAAAATTACATATATTTTTCTCAATATTTATATATATATATATATATATATATATATATATATATATATATATATATATATATATATACTTCATTTCTTCTCATTTTACCTGGAAATATATATAGACTGTTTGACCAACACAAAGAATGACCAAAATTCATGTTAAAAAAGTAAAAAAACTAAAAAAAAAAAAACAAATGAAAACTACAGACAAAAGTTCATTTTCTCCATCAAGACATTCATTTCTGAAGTTCACTGCTACCAGCAAAGATATTTTTTCTCCTGATGATGGCCATGTTGGCCGAAACTAGTTGAGGAATTTAAATGAAATAATAATAAAAATGAAAGAATATTAATGTACAACCCAGTGTGTCCGAAAATTTTATTTTTATATATATATATATATATATATATATATATATATATATATATATATATATAAACAATCCGATGATTAGGTTCAGATTCACATCCATGCGTTTAAGCATACATGCATACGCAATAGTAATTCTATTTCGGTGTTGATCAGCCGAAGTGAATTGAGATCCCCGGGCCACTGGTGTATTTCAAATAGACAAAAACGTTAAAATTTCCGTACCTCTCTACCATGCGACGAAATCGGTCGGGTTTCGATCCCGGCTTGAAGCAACCGGATGTCTAGCCACACTAAAGTGACTATTATAGCTATATATATACGAAAGCGAATTGAGTCACTGTCATGTTTCTAAAAATAAATATGCTAAAAATCCACCTTCATCCCTGCCGTGCGCCGACGGCTTAGTTAGAACTCCGACTGACACCAATTCAGTGGATGACGTTATATATATATATATATATATATATATATATATATATATATATATATATATAGGTCTGATCAATTTGGATCAGGATTACGATTCCAATGTAATAAATTATAACCATCTAGCCACACTAAAGAGCTGCGATACATTCTGTCTGTGGATGACTATATATATATATATATATATATAATATAAAAGGCCCAAACACTAATATTCCATGGTTATAATTTATTACATTGGAATCGTAATCATGATCCAAATTGATCAGACCTATATATATATATATATATATATATATATAACGTCATCCACAGACAGACTGTTTCGCTGTTTACAGCTCATCAGTGTGGCTAGACATCCGGTTGCCTCTAGCTAGGATGAATTGGTGTCAGTCGGAGCTTCTAACTATTAAGCACGGCAGGGATGAAGGTGGATTTTTAGCATATTTATTTTTAGAAACATGCCCAGTGACTGACAGTGACTCAATTCGCTTTCGTGAAGAGTCTCGCTATATAGCTATAATAGTCACTGTTTACCAACCCACACCTCTTCCCCAGAGTGCTCAACTGAAATTAATTTCAGGAGCAGATATAATGTCATCCACAGACAGACTGTTTCGCTGTTTACAGCTCATCAGTGTGGATATATACATTGACCACTAATATTCTCTATCTATCTATTTATATATATATATATATGTACAAATTTAATTATAAAATAGATATATATTCTCTATCTATATATATATATATATCTCTCTCTCTCTCTCTCTCTCTATATATATATATATATATATATATATTATCTATCTGTCTACATTTTAAATGTATTCTTTAAAAACATATTTTCATTTAAATTTCTAATGTTAAAAAATTGATAGTTGTTTTTTATAAAATAATTATTCAGTTGTTGATTTGAAATCTCAAGGAATATATCAAACCTATTCCTGGATTTATCTATTTACCTACCTACCTACGGTGGCACGAAATGGCACAATGGCGAAGAATAATAATAAAAAATAGCCAATCTTTAATAAGATTTAGGTTTGAAATCTCCGGGACTACATTTTATTGGTAATGGTAATTACCTTCTTTAGCTGTTTCCTTATTGTTGAAGCTTGGATAAGCATGGAATAATAATAATACAACACAAAATGTACGTAAACAAAATGTATTGAAACAAGGAAAAGGTACACAATATTTACAGTTAGTTTTGGTATATTCTTGGGAAGACTGTTCCTGTAGAATGGGTTGACTTAATCGCAGTCGGGCAGAGTCTCTCGATTCGATCTCTTCTTACTTCTCCCCTCGTCTTCCGGTACCAACCCATATTTATATCGTCGGTACTCCACTTATGTAAATTAGGTGGATCGTACCACAACACTTATAAGGAAACATTTGTCATTCGTTGACCGAGTAGCCATTCTAACTGTCGCTTGAAATTTATAAAATCATTCTGTTAAAATAATCATCAGGAGACTAGGTTTTTCAAGTCTGTTATGGCTCTTTCCAGTAATCTTAGGGGTTTCCTTCCTAACCTTTTGTTCTAAGTAGTGTGGAAGGTCAATATCTTGATTGTGCCATTATTTTCTGTCCTAATTATATATGCTGTCCATTTTAGTTGTTGCTGCTGTTGAAAGTCCTCAAGAGATGCGTTTTCCGTTATTTGGAGTTGTTCCTTGTTTGTGATTCTGTAGCGCCAGACCGAGCGACTCGAAGAAGGATGATGTGAACTAAGTTCTACTTCATTCCCTCGAAAACATTTTTAACCACGGAACTAAGATAGATAGATAGATAGATAGATAGATAGATAGATAGATAGATAGATAGATAGATATGAAGAAAAACAGATACATAGATAGATAGATATGAAGAAAAATAGATATATAGATAGATAGATAGATAGATGTGAAGAAAAAGATAGATAGATAGATAGATAGATAGATACTTCTGAAGAAATAGAGATAGATAGATCTTAACAGGTAAATAGTTATGAAGAAAAAGAGATAGATAGATAGATAGATAGATAGATAGATAGATAGATAGATAGATAGATAAAAAAAACATCATCAACCTTTATTAAATCCATTCTAAAGAAAGCGGCTGTATTGAGTTTAGATATTTCAGAAAGAGGTTGATGACATCCATGTGAAAATCTTGATCTGACGAGGCTATTTAAAAACATGATTAATGTTTTTGTTTTGTGGCAATTGGAGGTGTTGTGCGAAACTACCTCTAAAGCATTCTGAACTCTAAACAAGAGAAGGAGGATGGGACACGCTAGAGGAAAGCAATGCTACGCTAATGGGTTACGGGATACTTGATCGTTACTTGTAAAGAATTCTTTTGACCATTCTGTTTAATATTTCGATTTGGCCGTTACATCCCGAAAAAGAATGAAAAAAAAAAAAAGAATTTAATATCTTCTGGATTTCTTCCTGCTTTGCTTTTTCCCGTTTTTCTGGATTTTTTGCACCTCTTTCCCCCCTTTTACTTCCATCCCTCGCCTTTTTCTTTCCCCCTTAAAAAATGCTTCTGCCCTGTCACTAGCGACGTCTTCTTTGTATGGAACATGCACGGGCGAACGGTAACTTCCCGGCCCCCGGGCTGAACGAACTGCTAACAAGATAAAGGAACGGAAAAGAAAGAAAAGAATGATGGGGTGGGGGTGGGGGCTAGAGCAGATCAGACAATTAAGTCAGACACACCAGGACAAGTATTACTGTTCCGCCCCGCTAGAGGGCGCGGACTATTTGACTCCATTACGACACATTAGCCTACAAGAGAGAGAGAGAAAAAAATATGTTCTAATTGGAAGACGGGCGACGTAGTAAAATGTCGCATTATTAGACGAAAAAGACGCGAAGAGAAAGTGAGAAAGATGGAATCCCGGTAAACAGATGGGAACTGGTTGTGTTGGTGAAATAATAGCGAATTTTTTTGATTCCATTTTTTTGTTAAGGAAAGAAGAAATGGGGATGAGAATGAAATGACGACAAGAATGAGAAGTATTAAATAGTGACGATGATTTTGATATGATGAAAAGACATAGATAGATAGATAGATAGATAGATAGATAGATAGATAGATAGATACTAAACAAACTTAGATAGATAGATAGATAGATAGATAGATAGATAGATAGATAGATATGAAGAAACTGAGATAGATAGATACTGAACAAACTTTGATAGATAGATAGTTAGATAGATGTAAACATATAGATATGAAGAAACTGAGATAGATAGATAGATAGATAGATAGATAGATAGATAGATACTGAACAAACTTCGATACATAGATAGATAGATAGATAGATAGATATGAAGAAACTGAGATAGATAGATACTGAACAAACGTTGATAGATAGACAGATAGATAGATATTGAACAAACTTCGATAGATAGATAGATAGATAGATAGATAGATGTAAACATATAGATATGAAGAAACTGAGATAGATAGACAGATACTGAACAAACAGATAGATAGATAGATAGATAGATAGATAGATAGATAGATAGACGTAAGCATATAGATATGAAGAAACTGAGATAGATAGATAGCTAGATAGATAGATAGATACTGAACAAACATATAGATAGATAGATAGATAGATAGATAGATAGATAGATAGATATGAAGAAACTGAGATAGCTAGATACTGAACAAAATTTGATAGATAGATAGATAGATAGATAGATGTAAACATATAGATATGAAGAAACTGAGATAGATAGATAGATAGATAGATAGATAGATAGATATGAAATGATTGTAATAGATAGATAGATAGATAGATAGATAGATAGATAGATAGATAGATAGATAGATAGATAGATAGTAATTTAAAAAAGAGATACATTTGGAAAGATTTGAAATACATGATAAAGCAATGAAAATCAATTGACACAAAAGTAATAATACCAGAATATCTTACATCGTTTTCTCCATATTTCATTCTCTGATGAAGCTTTAATAAAAGTGAAACATGTTTTTCATATTTGTTCCTTATCTTATCATAGATAGATAGATAGATAGATAGATAGATATTGAAGAAACAGATAAAAGAAAGATGAAAGAACGCAAAAAATTTGAAAAATGAAAGTAAATGGTCGCAGAAAGAAAGAAAAAAGGAAAGAAAAAATGAAGGTAATAAGGCAAAAAGAAAGAAAAAATACGAAATATTAAGAAAAAATGAAAGAAAGAATATGAAAAGGCAAGAAGAAAGAAAAGGAAAGAAAAATAAAAGAAAAGAATAAAAAAAAAAAAGAAATGTTTTGAAAGAAAGGAAAAAGAAAAGATTAGAAAAAGAAAGATAATGAGGAATAGAAATAAGAAAGAAAGAAAGAAAAATGATTAGAAAAGGAAAGATAGAAAGGAAAAGAAAGAAAGAAAGAAAGAAAGAAAGAAAGAAAGAAAGAAAGAAAGAAAAAGAAATGATTAGAAAGAGAAAGATAGAGAGGAAGTGAATGGAAAGAAAGAAAGAAAGAAAGAAAGAAAGAAAGAAAGAAAAATGATTAGAAAAGGAAAGATAGAAAAGAAAAGAAAAGAAAAGAAAGAAAGAAAGATAGTAAGAAAGAAAGAAAAAGAAATGATTAGAAAGAGAAAGATAGAAAGGAAGTGAATGGAAAGAAAGAAAGAAAGAAAGAAAGAAAGAAAGAAAGAAAGAAAGAAAGAAAGAAAGAAAGAAAGAAAGAGTCAATATCAAAGAAAACCAAAAAGAAAATTGAAATAAATAAACGAAGAAAGAAAGAAATTGTGAAAAAATATATTGAAGAACGGAAAATGATGGCAAGAAAGAAATCGGGAAGCGGAAATAAAAAATACCAATCTGAAATAAGAATATAAATCGCATGACAATTATATCATTTTTGCTCTTCCATACTTTGAGTATTTTTTTCCTAGAAAATTTTCTCTTCAATTTCTGATTTGCATTCTTTTACTGATTACATTTTCAAAATGTTTCTCCCTATCTCTCTTCCTCACTCTCTATTCTTGAACGCACACTCTTTCTTCTCCATCATCACCTCTTTTTCTCCCTATCTATTATACATGCTCCCTCTCATCAGACTCATCGTCTCTTTTTCCCCTTTCTTTCTTTCTTTCTTTCTTTCTTTCTTTCTTTCTTTCTTTCTTTACGCATGAACAAACACACTCTCTATCTCTTTTTACCATTCTTACATACACATACACTATTTTATCTTACTCACAAACACACACAGGCACACGCCATCTCTTCCGCTTTCTTAAACGTGTATTCTTTCTTTCTTTCTTTCTTTCTTTCTTTCTTTCTTTCTTTCTTTCCATTCTTCCTCATAGACAGTTTTTATTTCTCCTCTCACTCACACGTTGTTTTTCTCTCTCCCATCTCCCCTGCCTCTATCTCACATGCTCTCACTTCTCCTCCCTCCTCTTGTAATAACTCTCCTCCCTCCCTTCCAAATTATCATTTAACTCACCCTCTCTTTTATGCGCATTTATCCTCTCTCTCTCTCCCTCTATCCTCTCTCCCTCCCTCACATACTCTTTTTCGCCGTCTCTTCCAAGCAAATATACTTCAATCCTTCCCGCTCTCACTAATATCTTTACTCCCTTGCTCTTTCCCTCCCTATCTCTCTCTATCACCCCTTTCTTTTCCTATTGCCTTTTTAATTTCAATTTTTCTTCCTTTTTTCGTTCTTTTTCTTTCATTCTTTCTTTCGCTATCCATCTACGTACATTTGTTGTCTTTCTTTTCACTCTCTCTCGCCTTCTCCTTTGCAATCTCATACTTTCTTTCTTGTTGCTTCATTCATTTTTCCTTCTTTCTTTTCTCCTTTGCCATTTTTTTCTTTTTTTGCCTCTTTTTTTTCTTTGTTTTGTTCTTTCTTTCTTTCTTTTTTTTTTTTCCTTCTTTCTTTTTTCTGTCATTTTTTTTTGTTTTGTTTTGTTCTTTCTTTCTTTCTTTTTTCGTTCTTTCTTTCTTTTCGCCTCCTTAGTGTCATTTTTTCTTTGTTTTGTTCTCTTTCTTTCTTTCATTTTTTCCTTCTTTCTTTCTTTCTTTCTTTGTTCTTTATTTTGTATTCTTTCTTTCTTTCTTTCTTTCTTTCTTTCTTTCTTTCTTTCTTTCTTTCTTTCTTCGCAACCCATTTATATACATTCTTTGTTCTTGTTTTTTTCTTTCTTTCTTTCTTTCTTTCTTTCTTTTTTTTCTGAATTTCTTTCTTTTTCGCAATCCATTTATACATTTACTTTTCTTTTCTCCCTTCTTTTTTTTTCTTTCTTTCTTTTCTTTTTCGTTCATTTTCTTTCTTTCATTTTCCTTCTTATTTTTTTGCATTGATTTTTTCTTTTTTTCTTTCTTTCTTTATCCTTTTCTTTCATTTCTTTCTTTTTTTTTTTTTCTTTTTCGTATCCTCCTTTCTCTTTCTCTCTCTTTCTCTCTCTCTCTCTCTCTCTCTCTCTCTCTCTCTCTCTCTCTCTCGCTCTCTCTCTCTTTCGCTCTCTCTCTCTCTCTCTCTCAACGCCTCCTTTGCGCTCTCAAACTTTTTTTTGCTTTTTGCTTCCTACATTTTCTTTCTTTCATTTTTTCCTTCTTTCTTTTTGCCTTCTTGGTTTAATTTTTCTTTTTCTTTCTTTCTTAATTTCTTTCTTTCTTTCTTTCACTGGCTTCCTTTCCCCCTCTCTCACACATATTTTCTCTTTTTCCCTCTTCTCTTTGTAAAATTTACAAATTGTAAAAATAGTCAGCAGATACGAAGCTGGGGTTTTTATCAAATGTCGATTTTTTAGAAAAGGACTTCAAAATCACTCAATTGATTCAAGGCCGATGAGTACTACCGCCGAACTCTACAACCGCGGGTGGGAGCGAAGCCTGATTGGCGGACCCGTGCAATTCTCTCTGGTCCTTGCTATATTATCAATATTTTTTTTTTCTACCTACATTTATATTCAACTAAGCCCAATTGACTAATACTAAAGAATAAAAAAAATTGACGTCATTCTGGGGTCAATTTTTTCGTCCAAATCCGTGAATTTTTGGGTTTTTTTTTTTTGCTCATGCAAAGTCTTGAAAAAACACGATGTAGAATTCTCTGTTTTTTATCCATAATGTTGAAGGTGTCAAAAATTATTCCACATTTTAAACAAGAAAAATTTCAATTTGATTTTAAAAATTGCCGCAAAACATTGTTAATTTATTTAAGATGGAATGATCTATTATGACTTTTGGAGAGTGAAGTTTTCAGCAGTCAGCTCTGACAGCCGGACCGAACATTCTTGCTGTAACCCTCTCGTTTGTATATGTTTTGTATTACTGTTTCTGTTAATATATTTGTTTAACTCAATTCCTCTCTTGTGTCTTTTTTTCTGGCCCTAACAAAGAGTCACAACAGATAGATAATGAACAGCCTGAGATAGATAGATAGATAGATAGATAGATAGATAGATAGATAGATAGATAGTGTTAGAGTAATTTACCCATGCATGCATGGACTCTCCCAGCTATAAATAGGAGCAGGTACTGCCTTTTGGAAAGGGAAGTTTTCAGCAGCCAGCTCTGACAATCGGACTGAACATTCTTGCTGTAACACTCTTGTTTGTATTACTGTTTCTGTTAATATATTTATTTAACTCGATTCCTCTTTTTGTGTCTTTATTTCTGGCCCTAACAAGGCTACAATAATAGATGGAAAAAATTTATTGAAATGGAATGCGATGAATACCAAATTGAAAGAAGATCGGTTCGAAGATTACTCTGAGAATGAAAAAAAAAAGAAAAAGAAAATGGTAAACTTGGAAAAGAAATAGAAAAAAAAAAACTTCTTTGAGAAACGGCAATAATCCTGGTCAGAGGAGATAAGCTAAATCTTAAGAGAACTTCTTAGTCTTACATTTTCAACAATATTTATTAATTATTTCCCCTCAAGCAAGGCGATAATGCCACTAAGACGCATGGACGTTACTGAGTGTGGGAGAAAAATGATAAGACTTCAATGAGAAAAAAAGGACAATAAAAGAATAAGTTTCAAGAAGAAAGAAGTCGAACGATTGGTACTGCGTTTAAATTTTTGAAAATCGTAGGAATCCTAGAAACAAGAATAGAGTTTCACAGACAAGAAGTACTAGAAAAGAAACTGTTAGAACTGACGTTACGGTTCCATTTAACTGTTTCAAATATGGGACCTAATTGCCAATCTAGTACTGCGTTTAAATTAATGCGGTCAGCATACCAAAAAAGAGAGTTCACGAGAACTATTGCCATGAAAATACATAGTGCCGGTACGTTATGGCAGTGGAAACGGGATTGAACCCTAGATGCCAAGTCAGGGCCGATACGTATACAGATTCTTCTTTGGGTTTTGCCAAAGAAACTCGAGATATATAGCAGAAGTACTCTAACCAATATGGCAGTATAATTCAATGCCAGGACGAATGGTAGATCTATAACTGTGCAAGCTGGAGATGTATAAACGTGGCGAGAAAAATTATCCGACACAGTGAACCCACTTACCTAGCAGCATACTTAGAAATGATTCAATATAATTGTCCCACTTCATGTCGGTGGAAAACGTGGAACCAAGAAGGCGCAATAGGTAACTCCCGTGGAGGTTAGCATCAGCCATGCTGGTGGAAGACGAAAAGGATTCGCTAAGGTGACTAAATGAGTGCAGTTTCGTTTTAAAAAGCGTTAAAATTAACAATCCATTTCTTGCCCCAGTTAACAACAGACTGGATGTCATTTCCTAGATCAACTGTCAGTTTTACTTCATCAAACCTATCGGCGTTGTGTCAGCATCGATACCGAGTTGGGAACGGATGGTAATGGAAGGTCGTTGGTGAAGTAAGAACCTAAGTCCAATGATAGATCCCGGTTGGACAACCGCATTAATGTGAAAGGATATAGAAGATTGGCCGTTACAAACGTTCTTCATTACGTTATCTAGACTTCCTGTAATTAGACTTTGGACTCATCTTCAAATCGGAACTTCTGTATTGACAGAAATATGAAGCCTTTTCTTCCTCAAATCAAAAGAGTACCCTTACGAAACAAGCAAACGCGCAAGTTTAAATACCTGGGAAGCGTCTTGACAGAGGACGGTAAATGCGACATTGAGATCCGTAGGAGCATTGGGATGGCCAAGGACACATTCCAAATGCTGGATAGAATACTGCGAAACAGGAGGATATCTTTGGCAACAAAGAAAAGAATACTGAATTGTTACGCGACATCTGTCCTTTACGGTAGCGAATGTTGGACGATTTCCTCGAAGATGAAGAAGAGACTCGAGGTGACGGAGATGTGTTTCTACAGAAGGATGCTAAGAATATCATGGATCAAACATATTGGGATGGCCAAGGACACATTCCAAAAGCTAGGCAGAGTATTGCAAGACAGGAGGATATCTTTGATAACAAAGAAAATGATACTGAGCTGTTACGTGACATCTGTCCTTCTTTACGGCAACAATTGTTGGACGATTTCCACAAAGATGAAGAAGGGACTCAAAACAATGGAGATGTGGTTCTACAGAAGGATGCTAAGGATATCATGGACCGAGCGTGTGAGCAACGATGGGATCTTAGAGAGGTTGCAAAGAAGGAAGTGGCTTGATAGATTGGTTGGTTCGTTTTTTTCGGCTTATCAACCCTTTGCAGGTTATTTAAAGTGTATGAATATTTTTTGTGGAGAGAATAATGATTTAGTGATAGAGGTCTTACTAAGTATTACAAGTTTTACTAATTAATCCATAGTTGGGGGAGAGGAGGGTAATTCATATCATTCCCAAGGATATTTACGCGTAAGTGAATCTAACATCAGGAAGAGGCAGCTGAAGTTTCTGGGGACATAATGAGGAAGAAGGGCCTGGAGAATCTGATACTCACGAGTCGAATAGAGGGAATGAGAGACAAGGGAAAACAGCGCATGACATACTAGGCGGGCTTGTGCAAGTGGATGACAGAACACGGTCTGGAGGAGGAAGCATAAGGAAGAAACTTGTTGAGAGCTGCAAGAGATAGGAGGTGGTGGAGAGCCATGATCGTCTACATCTTCATGGCACATAAAAAGGAAAGAAAGACACTCAATCAAATATCTCGGATGCAATATTAATTATTAATGAAGGACACAGCGAAATTCAGGAAGATCTGACAATGGACGAATGATCAATTTATAACTTTTTTAAGACAGGAAGATGCGGAGAGTCATGATCACTTAATAATTTTTAAACATTTCATAAAGTGTTTTAGAGTTTAACAAATTATATTATTTGTTTAGAACAAATTTTTTCATTAACACTCCTCCCCCTTCTCTTGGACATGAGTAGAGGCTTACGCCTTGTTTCTTGTTTAGGAAGGGGTTTCCGGTACACTCTCTCTCTCTCTCTCTCTCTCTCTCTCTCTCTCTCTGGCCTCTGTATCTCCAGTTGCCTTGATCTATCCATTACTCTTCTCCTCATCCTTTCTTCTATCACTCCTATCTGATCTTGCTTCAAATTTTCTGTAACCCCTTGCGTCCTAGTGGCTTCCCGCCTTGCTTGGGGTGAAACGCTTAAAAAAATTACTATTTGTTGTCAATTATTTTTTTTTTCGTATATTTATGTATTCAATCTACACTAAATAAAGACGAATCAATAGTAAAAAACTAGCTTTTGTATCTTAAACTCTAAAACTTAATGAAGATTATAAGTTTGCCACTGCGGACTTTTCTTCCCCTAATCCGAACACTACCCTCAATACCGAACACCTCATTCAAGTTTACAGCAACTCGTATTCCCAAGCGGTCACCCATCTAGGTACTGACCAGTCTCGATGTTGCTTAACTTCGGTGATCGTACGGTAACTGATGTTTCAACGTAATGACGTGGGTGATATGAATGAAAGAGGAGAGGTGAAAAGATTAAGAGAATGAGTAGGGAGGTGGACAGTTAGATTTAAAATAAATTGACAGCATAAATGTTGGGAACTTATAACGAGGAAAGACGGTCAGGAGAATTTAACACTCACAAGAATGCAAGAGAAGCAAGGGGAAACCGCGAGTGACCTACATTACGTGTTTGTCTTGAAAGGAGGGAAGAATATGTACAAAAAGAAATAATAAAGTGTCAAATGTTACTTAGAGAAGAAAAAGACAGGAAGATGTGGAGAGCCTTGATCAGCTACTTAATCATTTTTTGTAGATGGATGGCAGAACAGGGACAAGGAGAAATGGTAAAGAGTCAAAAGTTACTTAGAGCAACAAAAACAGGTAGATGTGGAGAACCATGATCACCTATTTCATGAGTTTGTGAGAATAGACGGCAGAACAGGGACAAAGAGAGATGGTAAAGTTAAATTTTACTTAGAGCAACAAAAGACAGGAAGATGTGGAGAGCCATTATCCCCTACTTAATGAGTTAGTGTGAATGGATGGCAGAACAGGGACAAAGAGGGATGGTCAAGAGTCAAATGTTACTTAGAGCAAAAAACAGGAAGATGTGGAGAACCATGATCACCTACTTAATGAGTTTGTATGAATGTACGGCCAAACAGAGACAAAGAGAAATGGTAAAGAGTTAAATTGTACTTAGAGCGACAAAAGACAGGAAGATGTGGAGAGCCATAATCACCTACTTAATCAGTTTTGTGAATAGATGGCAGAATAAGGACAATGAGAAATGGTAGAGTCAAAAGTTACTGAGAGCAAAATATAGGAAGATCTGGAGAGCCATGATGGCCTACTGAATGGGTTTGTGTGAATGGATAGCAGGACAGGGATAAAGAACGATCGTAAAAAGTCAAAACTTTCTTAAAGCAATAAAAGGCAGGAAAATGTGGAGAGTCATGATCACTTAATTATTTTATGTCAATGGATGGCAGAACAGGGACAAAGGGGGATCGAAGAGTCGAAAGTTTCTTAAGGCAATAACAGACAGGAAGATGTGGAGAGTCATGATCACTTAATCAATTTGTGTGAATAGATGGAAGAACAGGGACAAAGAGGGATCGTAGAGTCGAAAGTTTCTTAAGGCAATAACAGACAGGAAGATGTGGAGAGTCATGATCACTTAATCAATTTGTGTGAATAGATGGAAGAACAGGTACAAAGAGGGATCGTAGAGTCGAAAGTTTCTTAAGGCAATAACAGACAGGAAGATGTGGAGAGTCATGATCACTTAATCAATTTGTGTGAATAGATGGCAGAACAAGGACAAAGAGGGATCGTAGAGTCGAAAGTTTCTTAAAGCAATAAAAGGTAGGAAGATGTGGAGAGTCATGACCACTTAATTTGTGTGAATGGATGGCAAAACAGAGGGGATTAGGGATCGTAGAGTCGAAAGTTTCTTAAAGCAATAAAAGACAGGAAGATGTGGAGAGTCATGATCACTTAATGAATTTTCTGTGAATGGATGGCAGAACAGGGACAAAGAGCGATCGTAAAGTGTCATATGTTACTTAGAGCAAAAAAAAGATGCGCCTTGAGCGCCGATTGAAACTCAAGCTCTTTCCAGGCGTCATGGATCTCGTATACAAAATCCATCGCTGTACGGCTCGAGTAAGTACCTAACCCCTGCTATTCTCTGTGCTTACAAGAGCCAGATCAGGTAGAAAATAAAGTAATGCTACCTTATCTGGACGAGAACTGTCAAGTTTACACTTTCTAGTCTTGATAGTCTCCAAAAGCCTCTACGCGACCTTGTAAGTGACGAATTATTTTCCTGCCTAAAACCAATTTCCCACAGACGAGACGTTGGAATCCTCTCGCTACGCTGTCGCTATTTCCATGGAAAATGCTCAGACGAGCTACATGCTTTAGTTCCACCAGTTCTAACCTCCAGAGCTAGGACCCGCCACGGCCACAGTAGCGAATCACCCACATTCCCTTCATATTTGATTCGTGAGAAGACAGTTCTACTCGAACATCTTCCCACAAACCGCTCCTTGGAATCGACTCCCAATAGGATGCTTCTTCAAGCTGTTCAATTATAGGGTGAGCTATTATCTTTCCGAGATTTTCCCCTAAACTGTGCCTCTTACCGTTTATCGACTCTTTCACTTTATCTTGAGTGGTTCTTGGGCCTTGGATAGGGTGAAGGGCGCCTACTTCAATATTGTCGAAAAAAGTTTAACACATAAAAAGAATCGAAAAAATAACAGATGGATCACATCACAATAAACTTTGTTTTTATGAACTTAGCTTTATTATTATTTGTGACTTGAGGTCTACCCCCGGCTCTTAGACGTTTCGGCTAGCTGATGATGCTCACATCTCACCTCCTACCTGCAGTATACAGATACAGCACCCTTTTGAAAATTAATTGAACACAAGCGCTTTAGTTGCCTTTCTTTCAAAATACAGTCAGTTTTAGACCCACTAGAGTGACACGGTGCAATCGATTTCTATGTTTTCCCCAGATTAGTTCATGTGCAGTGGTGTGCAGTAATATGAATCTATTTTGAGGGGTGTATGATGAAATTTGTTTCGCCTTGCATCCGATTTTAACCTGCCCAGTCACTATTGTCTCGACTGTCGATTAGTTGTCCTACGGCCATTGTCTGCGATGGACGTTACTCCAAGGAAACGTACGAAAATTGTAACACTGTACGAACACACTAGCAAGCGTTACCCGTGAGCAAATCAAAGTACGATAGACTGGCGTGCAAACTCTCCTGATCTAAATCCAATCGAGAATCTGTGGCCAAACTGCACAAAGCGATTTCGTGGAATGGACATACGAAGAACTAACATGTGCACTGGGTCATGTTTCATTGGGAAAATATGAATAAAAAGTAAATAATAGCGAAGTTATTCATTTTGTTTTAATTCGTTTGTACAAGGGTGTACATCTTGAGTGCGCCAGTCATAGGACGTGATTTGTGCATCTGCAGTTCTACGATTTCTAGAGTCACGCCTGGGTAACCCTGTTCCTTCGACTGCTCAGCCTTCACGATATTCTCATTCCTGCAAGATACTGCAACGTCCATAAGGATCCATTCACGACTGCTCTTGCGCACAAGGGAGATTACTCTCAAAGCGCTTATCAGTTCCGAAATTATTATTATTATTGTTGTTGTTTTATTCCCTGGTGTATACTCATTTCTTTCCGGGTCCCTACCAGTGACCTAAGGTCAGACATGGCATCATAACATTTTCCACTGAGTAGTCTGAAAAAAATTATTTTACAGAGATAATGCCCTTCGTAAGATGTGGCCTGTACTTGTGAGTACATTTTTTTTTGTATTTCTTTAAGCCATGGGCTACCAGGGATCACTTCAATGAGTATTGGAATCTTTTCCAATCAATTTTGAGATTTCGATTTCAAGATCCTTGTATTTTGATAGATTTTGAAGACACATTGCAGTCCGCAGTGACCGCCATGCCAGAAACGAGGCATATTTTGTCTTTGAGGTCTCTAATAACGATGTCAAGGCGATTTGCTTTGATTGTTCTATCCTATGTATTGTAAAGTCCCATACAATTGTTACAGGTTCTATCTACGTAACCTGGTCTGGGTTGTGTTCATATAAATTTCTTGCAGTTTCCTTTCCGTAGAAGTTGCACATTTTCCATTGCAGATATTGGCCCACTCTGTCTTGTATTTTATATTCAGTGAGTGCTAATATCTCACAATCTGATACAAGATGGTTGATTCTTTCTGGATATTTTCTCCAGTATTTGCATTTTGGACAAACGCAGCGTTTTCAGTATGTGTGCTTGGTAATTTTTAGTTAACAAGCATTGGTCCTCTACAGCAAGGATAAAACCTTCCGTTTCAGCCTTTACCGCTGCACTATGTAGCTACTGATAGGTACGGGGTTTATCAACATCAGCTTGTTTGGTACGCCCAGAATATTGGCCCTGAAAAGGTTTATCTTGCAATCGTTTCTGTATAAGGTCGGTTGCATTTGCCTTTGCTTTCTTTTTAAAGTATTTTGCAGCTTCAGTCGGTGTATCATGCTTTAGTTGTATTTCTTTACCCGCTTGAAACGCCATTGTTAACTATTATTATTATTATTATTATCATGTCTTTCGATTTCTTTTGTCTACTTATCATTCCGCGTCCCAACCAGAGACCTAAGGTCAGAAATGGCATAATGAAACATTAATGATGAGTGGGGGAAAAAAGTAATCAGGAGGACAGTGGATAACGATTGACATTGCATTTAAATTTTTGCAGATTAAAGTTGACTGGAAAGCATGGAGCCGGAAAGGATTTCCACAAACGAGAAGTGCGAGTAAAGAAACTGTCCTCATAGAACTTACGGTGAGATCTAGCCAGCTCAAGTGTAAATTGATGGGATGTCGCTGCCGGTCTTGTACTGCGCTTAAATTCAAAAAGTCTAGGTACCATGGCCAAGAGCTTATCCGAAAAATTAATTTGAAAGTATTTATAGAAAAGACACAAAGAGGCAACCTTACGGCGGTGGGAGGGGCTAAACTGAATCCGAGCAGCCAGATCAGGACCGATAATATTGCTGATTCTTCTTTGGATATTATCAAGGAGCTCAAGGTAAATAGCAGGGGTACCAGATTTTTCTTCAGTATTTTCTCAGATAATGTTTTAATATCTGGTAATTAATGCATAAATCCATAATCGTTAACTTTAGTTATCATGCAATATTTCCCTCTGTTTTCGTACTGTTCTGGAGTATTCTTGCTGTTTTTTAAATCATTTCACCCCAAGCAAGGAGAGAAAGCGACTAGGACGCAACGAGATACTGCGAATGAAAGAGAATTAGATTATTTTAGTTGGGAGAAGTGAGGAGAAAGGACAATAAAAGAAGAGACTTCAGGAAACCAGAATATAGCGATTAACGTTACATTTAAATTTTCGAAGGCTGTGGATGACAGGGAAGCAAGAAACCGGAAGTGAATT